TGTATCATGTTGTGCGACGTGAGCCAGCAAAGTCCTCCCCAGCTCTCTTGGGTGCTGCCTCTTGACTGGGATTTCCAGGCTCCCCCATTTCAGCCCCAGCATGAGATGGAAGTGACTTTTTACCCAGGCATTTGTTTTTTGTGAAAGTCGTGTTTTTTTCATTGCGAGTGAAAAATCAACACAGATTTTTGTCCCTTCTTTTCTTTGGGTGGCACTGAGAGTTTTGTGGGGTTGACACAAAAAGGCCGACTGGCACACTTGGCCCTGTTTTAGTGCTAATTGTGCCCATTAGCAGCTGAGCCCTTCCAGCCTGCAGGAGAGGTTGGGATACCCAGCTTCCAGTCCGCATTCATGGAAGCAGAGAGCCGAGTCCCTGAGAAAGCTTTGAGCCCCCGCTCCGCTCCCCCCAGCCCGCAATAGGCCCGTTACACCAAACCGTGGCAATAACTTTCAAAGGCTCATTTAAAAAGCACAGACTTTTGTTTAAAGTGTCCAGACAACGACATCAATAGCTTGGTGAGCAGACAGATTATTCACAACAGGTTTCTCAGAGACTTCTTTTTCTGCAAGCAGTTAAAACAGCTCGACTGGGCGGAGGAAAAACCAAACGTTACATTTAGTCCATTGGTTCTTCCTGGCATGGGGATGGCACCAGTAGAAAAGCTCAGAGAGCAAAAGCACCAGGATTTCGTAAGATGGAGGCGGCATTACAGTGTCACTAAAAACCATCATGAGACGGGAATGCTGTCTCTTCCAGGGACACCATTGCTTCCCGGAGAGCACCCTGCAGCTGCGAGCCCTCAGGTGCCGAATACCAAACCAGTGACAGCCGCCGCCTGCATAGAGCTGTCTCTGCCGACCTCGTGTGGCCGTATCCGAAATGAGCAGGATTCCCAGCTGCTTTTCAATCCAGCGCGCTGCAAGCGTCTCGCTAGTCAGCATGTAGCAAGCTCATTTTCAGCCCAGGCAAGAGGCACTGGTGCACCTTTGTGGTGGATGGGATTTTTTTTGCCAAAGTCTAATTTAAATCAGGTGAAGGCCTCGTTTCTGGGAAATGATGAATCGAGTCGAAGTCTGGCATAGAAGTCGGGGTCCTGGGTGGGGGGACTACGGAAACCTGGCTTCTAACATCAGCAAAGAGATTAGTCTGCTGTGTGACCCAGGGTAAGACAAGCCCCTCCGGGGGCCTCAGTTTCCTCATCTGTAAAAGGATCGGCATGCTACTCATCCCTTTTGGAAATGTGTAGATTTCTATAAAAACCCAGGTATTGTGCTGTTGAACTGCTGGCCATACATGTAGCTGGTGATTGTTCAAAACCCCCCTTCTCCCACTCATCACTCCCTTGAGAAGGCCCAGGAGAAGTGAATCTCGCCAAGTACAAAAGAAAAAAAATGCCCTCCGAGTTATTTTTTCCTCTAAGCACATCCCCTGCTCCCCAGGCTGGAGCTGACTTCCTTTTATGCCTTGCACTGAATTGTTGCGGGCACTTTCCCTATGAATAGAGCACCATGCCCAGCTCCAAGCTCAAGCCTTGTCCTGCCAAATTGGGTCAGCCCGGAGGCTGCTTTCAGCTGCCCCCAAACAAGGAGCATTGCAGGTCAAGAATGCTGTGCAGATCCAAACCAAATGCTTGAGGAAAGCAGACTCTGAGCCCCAGGCAGTCACCAGTGGCAGGGAGAAGGGGACAGCTGTGGACTGAGCTGGATACTACATGCTCCCTTCCCGAGAGGGCTACAACTGAAATGGCACGTGCCGCTTGGGGTCGGTCTGAAGTTGGGGCCTCTGCCTGGAGCCACAGTGGGACGCAGAGCTTCTCCAGAGAACGGCTGTCTCCCCGTGCTAAGCACTCTGTGGCTGTGCTCCCAGCACAATCCCTACACTGGCAGGCAAGTTCTTTGGGTAGATGTGATATCTTTATGAGACCAACTAAATAGTTGGAAAAATTGTTCTTTCCAGGCTTTCAGGCCCAAACTCTGGGAGACTCTGGTCTAATAAAAGATATCACATCTACCCAAAGAACCTATGTCCTTAGACGAACACGGCTCCAACCAACAGCCCTGCGATCCCTACACTGGGCACTTGGAAGGGCTGGAGGGAGGGAAACTGGTATTCCTTAGACATGCTGCAGTCACTGGCATGCCTCATAGGCCTCTGAGCTCTTATAGGGGGTATATCAGGGGCCAGGATCCAGGTCTGAAATTCTCCAGGTCTGAAATGAAGCAGCACAATGGCAGTGCAGCTCTCCCAACCCTTGTCTGCAAGACTTTCCCCCATCCCTGCTTGCTCAGGGGGTGAATTCCTAGCTGCTCCTCTGCCTGCCAACCAGGGTGGTAATCATGACAGTGTTTTTCTGCTGCAGACATCTGCTCGCAGAGAACTGGACTGTGACCACCAGCTCGAATCACATGGGCTACTGAACTGCTGACCGATGATAATGATTTTCAGTTGCTGCTGACCCAGTCTGCATTTGAACCAGTGACCTAGAAGTGAAAGACTCCATGCCCTGTTACCAGTCCCCTGGGATCTGCAATAATCCTAGGGCTATGTATGAAGATTGAAATAGAAATCTGTGACAGATTGAAATGAGGACCGTCCTGCCGCCAGTCCAAAACAGCAAAGCCATAAGAAACTGCCATAAAGGGAGCCCTAGCGCATCTGAACAGAACAGATTTGCAGCTCCAAGAGCAGAAAAACCAGATGCAAACTCCGGGAACCACTGAGTGATTGCATTGCCGCATCCTTGGCTTCAGAGAGAAGCCATCTACCTTTTCTAAACACAAAGGCTTTTGCTGTCAAATCTGCATGCAAGGGTTAGATGCCAGGTTTCCATTAACTTAATGGTAACAATTAATTATGCAAACCACCAAAGGAGCTGTATGAATCTCAGCCTCCTTCATTCATTTTGTATTGCTGGGAAAGATTTCCCCCCTCTTTCAATAGTCATCTTTTCAGCGATTGATTCCCTGCATTTTCCAGAACAAAACCACATTTTTCTTAGATCCTCCACAAGTAGATCTGCTGGCCTAGCAGAATAGTGGGATGAGGGGTCAGAGCACCTGAGAACATGCACTTGTAAAAATGACACACACAAGTAATTTGACCAAAAATTAAGCCAGATTTAGAGCCACCTGATGGACTTGGGGCACATCTATCCTCTGGTTACAGGGGTGACCATAGCACAGGTGGGTTGCACCCTAGCAAGCTGAGCGCAGGTACTGGCAGCAGTGTAAGCATGGGAGTTTGGGCTTCTGTGCACCCCATCTTGAGTCTGAAGGAGCCAGGGATTTATTCTTTTGACTGCTGCAACCCCTATATGCCCTGAAGTGATTATAGGTAAGAATGAAGTCTGTGCTGCTTCATTCTGATTAATACATATTTATACAAGCACAAGGGCCCCCAAGCTGCAGTCACACCTGATTGCATATGGACTTGCCCTCAAACATGGGAACATAAGGGAGTAACTAGCTAAGGTTCATATTTTAGAGGACAGTGTGATGCTCCAACACCTCCCTCCACTGTGGACAGATTGTGCCTGGCAATACTAGGGTTGGAGCAAGTAAGTGTTCCCATGATGCCTTATTTGCATCATCCGTCAGCAAAGGATATGGATAATGTCTTTCTGCAACTGGTGACCTCCCTGTGTCTGAAGCAGGGTGTTTGTACCCAAAAGCTTGCAAAGAACAATTTTCCAACTATTTAGTTGGTCTAATAAAAGAGATCACATTTACCCAGAGAACCTTGTCTGCCTGTGTCCTTAGACCAACACGGCTACAACCAACAACCCTAGCAGCAAGCATGGCAGACTATGGTTGTTAACCACTAGGTCTGAAAAGGGGCCACATCAGAGCATCACAATCCACCCTCACCCTGCCAGACTCAAAACAAGGCACGCAATAGTCACCTTTCTTCTCTGAGCTTCTCCAAAAAAAAATCTCTTCCAAGACAAATGGGGAATGGGGCAGGAAGTGTCCTAGAAGCAGGAAATGCCTAAAAGGCCCCATGTGCCACCATGGGCTCATGCCAGCCCCTTTGATGCATAAAAAGTGCCAGTTTATGATGCTGGGTCCATCCCCAGGTGTGAACGTCGTCCCGAGGTGACTGTGCACTGTGGCTGGGGAGCGATCGCTGCGGTTCATTGGGTGCTTTATCCTTGGATGTGCACTTTTGCTTGTTGAATAAAAAAATATTGTCAAAGAGACTTCCCAACTGTCCCCAAAGCACGACTCAAGTGGGATGCATATGGCACTGCACTGTGGAGAATACCCCCCACCCTCCAACCCTTTGGCTTACTGTCCAGCTTGGAAAGATGCCCACGGGGCAGGGAGGGACCCAACCCACGCAGGAAGTGGAGAAAAGCTCTCCGTCTCTATAGTGGGATACCAGCATCCCCTCACAGCTGAAGCAGGGCTGCGTAGCCCCAACATGCATGGCAGACAATGCTGGTGAACCCTTACCACAGCAGACCAGCTAGCTGCATCCATCCCCTGCCTGCCTCATCCATGCCAAATATTCAAATATTCGAACGCAGCCTATGCGGGGGGTCGGACTCGATGATCTATTGAAGTCCCTTCCGACCCTAACATCTATGAATCTATGCCCTTACCCCATCATGAGCTTCCTGGAGTCCAGTCTTGCCCAGTAGAACTGGACTCTTGAAGCAGGGCCCCCACCAAGCTCCAACTTCTCAAGTTCACAACCTACTGAGGGCAGAGCGAAGAGCTTGGCCTATTGCCATGAGACAAGGAGCGGAGAGAAGTTAAATTGAGTTCCACGCAATCTCCATCTCCCGTAACGGTCACCCAGCACTTAAGGTCTGCGGGCCAGCTGCACAGCCTCTCAGAGAAAGGGAGGGTATGGCATCTGCCCTTTGCAGACCTAGTAGAAGACGTAGTGGAAGAGTTACTTCTGCAGTGACCCTTGGCAGGCAGCCTGACCTCATGGAGGAAGCTGAGACACTTTTAAAAAAAGGATATTTAATGGTTGAACAGGAGGTCTCCAAGAATCGTGTTCACATTCAGTGTCCTGCAAAATCATGCTATATGACCTGGTCCTAAAGACAGCTGCATGTTGCGAATCACTGGGAATCTTTAAAAATGCAAATGCTAGACAGGCAAACACAAGGTGACCCCTTGTGTTATTTTTTTCCCGTGGTGGGATGCAGTTGGGTCCTGCTCCCACGCTGTAAGATAAAGGCACCGGCACCCAAGAGTTGTTCTCCGAGAGCCCTTGGGAGTCACTGGGAAGACTCCCATCAGTTTTCACTGGGCTTTGTCTCAGGCCCCCACAAGACAGAGAGAGAGAGATCAGTGCTAGGTCCAGGAATGATGTCAACCAACAAGTCTCCTCCCAGTAAAGAGGAAATCTTTCTGATGGTGCAACACAGGCAGCTCCATGCAGTTAGGTGCCATGTGAGCCGTGCATAGCTCTACCCATCAGCTAATCACAGAAGGTGCAACTTAATGGGGCTGGCACTTTAAAAACAAACGGAGTTGGTAATTTAGAAATCGATGGCTCATCGGTGCCTAGCAAGACAGAGAGCAAAGTGCTTTCAGGACTGCGGCTCCAGCGAGCCAAACTGAGTCTCCTGCCGTAAAGGAAATGGGCCTTGTCTTTTACTGCCTCATCTTCAAAGGCTTTTGTGTGATTGGTCTCAAGCAGCAGCAGCTCTCACAGACCGTCCAAAGCATATCAGGGATGATTTCCAGCTTTCAATGCCTCTCATGTTCTAGCCTGTCCTATTTAGGGTTTTTTGCTGTGCCCATTCAATTGAAAAATGGCCCAGCCAGCAGCACCGCTGTAAAGGCCAAGTAGGACAAAGTGATGCCGCAAAGGACTGCGCAGCCTGCTTCAGAGTCCCATCGCCACGCTATTACCCAGAGACCTGGATTGAGGGGAGGGGTAATTTTGTGGTAGCATTTTTGATAACACCGCTTCATAAGCAGGGCAGAGAAAAAGCACATTGCACACTTCTCAAGGCTTTTGATGACTCCTGAATTGCAGCGGCTGCCTTTTGGAGAGCTGCCCCTGTGGGAAATTGCCTCTCCGCTCTGTGCCTGATTCAGTCCTCTGCAGTGCCCTCAGGCACTAAATTAACACCCAGGGAAACGGGCCCGCAGCAGTGAAACTACTGGGAACTAAAACAGTCACCAGAGGCAGCCCCTTGACCTGGTTTCTGCCATTCCCCACCCTTTGCTGAAACACCAAAGGAGATGACCATGACTCGTTCAATCCTGTACTACCCCTGGGACCCCAGCACATCACCAGATACATCAAAAGTGAATGTAAAGGAAGGTGATTTTTGTATACATCGATCAAACAGAAGCTACAACCTAGAATAGGATTTAGGGAAGCAGAGGACGTGGATGTACATGAATTATGGTAGCTTCCTGCATGTGATTGCATCTCAAGTGACTGGCTGCACTCAGTGATTATACGAGCCTGCTTCCTGCTTGGAGCTAAAAGAGCTGCTGCTTCAATCAAGCAGTGAAGGCTTGTGGTTTTGGTGCTGAAGGCATCAGATTTGATCACGGCTGATGACCATGGCTTGTGGATGCAGGTGGCCAACATAAACCCTTAAATTCAAACATCTGGAAACACGGATGGCCTGCGCGTCCTTTATAAAGGCAAAAGTGTTTCTGATCTGACATCAGTTAATGTGGTCTATTTGGTTGCAAAATATCCCCCTTCACAACCTATCAGTGGACCCCAGAGGTAATTCTAGCTAATGCATCCAATAGGATGCAGACATCACACCCCCAAACAGCAGCACTGTTGCAGCAGCTTTCCCATACGCTTTCCCTCCTGAAACACCGGCAGCTCGGTCTCACCTTTATCTACTCTGTTTCCATTGAGGCCAAGCGGTCTCTCAGTGTGTCCATCCCCTCCCTAAGTCTGCAGGTTTTAAACACCCATAGCGAGACATCTCTAGGGAATGTTTCTAACTGCCAAGTGATGTGACGCCCTTTGCCTGGGGCAGGGGAACAAGAAGGAGCAGAACCCACAGTCTGTTATTAGACCTTTAACTCAAACACAAATAAGTGCAGTTCACTTCTCATGGAGAATCTGAAACCTTTGCCGCCATGGTCCTAGGAATGTGTGTTTTGCTTGCACCAGTGTCACCTCGTGGGATTTCCATCACCACCGGTCCCTGAAGCATGGTAATGTCTCTGGGTCTGTGTCACCAGATGTCATAGCCCTGCATGGGCAAATGCTGCTGTCCACACGCTGGTGAGCACAAGGCCAGCTGAGAGTCTGAGCCCTGGGCGAGACGCAAGGGAATCCGAGGAGGAGGTGCAGGAGCAGACCTCGTAGCCGTTCTCCGAACGGCTCTCGTCATGCTGCCCTTGCCTGGAGCGTGCCCCAGTCCTGCTGCTCCCTGCTGCCTCTGGCGAGTCGGACTGCATGTCGCTGCAGACCAGCCAGTCCTTTGCGATGGACTGCGGGTACCCGGGCTCTGCCTCCATGTCGCTGTCCAGCACCTTCCAGTACTCCTTGCCCCTGAAGAAGTAGGTTGCGCCTGTGGGGGTGGGAAAAAAAGGACAGACAGGATTAGCAGAGGCACGCTGGGGCACTCGTTCTGTCACTCATCTCCTGTCCTGTACCTACAGCACGCAGTGGCCTCTATGGCACCAAATGGGCGCTCACACCAAAGACCACAGCAGGGCACACCAACGACCAAAACACCTGTTGGGCAGGGTTACAATGACTCCCAACCTGAACGGACATTTTGTGCTCTTCCACCCGCTCAGCACGGCACAGCGGTACAATCACTAGTGGTACAGTACAACCCCTAGTGTTTGCTTATGCTTCTGGTCTCTAAATCCATCCTGTATTTATGGCTAAGGTAGGGGTCTCATTCACATATGCCCCTCACCACTGGTGGTACAAGAGGCTTAATAAGGCTGGGAGAGAAATCTGGGCATGGCCTCGGCTGCCTAAGTTGTCCAAAGGGGCTTGAACGTTGATATGCCCAGAGGGACGTATTCTGAGAGTCTGATGGTGCCTTCACATGTAGCGATTATTGAGGCAAAAAACAGCAAGGGATATGAGGGGCATGGGAAAGAGCCAAACTTCATCTATGTGTTTTGTTCCTCCAAGCCAGGCATCCTCAACTTTCACATCAGTGCTGCGGCTTTGCAGAATGCCATATGCATCATTTTGTGCTTATGCTAAAGGGTGAGGTGGTTCACCAGGCCCTGCACAGACCTCTGGCACAGGAGAGGACAACATCCATTAAGAAGTAGACACGTTTTTACTTCTCCAAACATATTCCCTGCCTGTGAAGGACTCCTGTCACTGTGAGTGATAGGCCATGCTCAGCAGCTTCCTAGGTTCAGTGTGATAAGCCCCTGGTGATGTTCCCCTTCTCGCAGTGGTTTAAAGGTTGCTATTATGCTTTTAGCCTTGCCAATAAATCAAACTGAAAGTGTCCCTCTCTTGTAAGCACTCTTTGCACTGAAGCAAACGCCCACCAGTAACGGCATTTCCACCGTTTCCCCAGGGAAGCTAAGCCATGTCTAATAACTCTCATCCCTGAGAAGCACATCCGGACAGGCAAAAAATCTACCGTAAGATTATTATTATTTTTTTACATGCTCCTTTTTCTGGCAAAAAAACCCTCCACACACACTTCAACAAATATGAACAACCCTCCACACACACTTCAACAAATATGGCAAATGACAACATGCCCAAACTGCCTTACAAACAGGCTCAGTCAAGAAAAAGGATCAAGTATCATCTGTCCCATCTTACATGGGGCTTTGAATGGACAATCTCAGCACCTGGAAGTCCACTGACTTTCACGGAGCAACTTGCAAGACTGAGATCTGTGACTGTGCTCGTGACTACCTCTCACTTAGTGTCTGTGGAGCACCCAGGGCGGGAGGGCCCTGATCCTGTTCTTAACCAAGCAACAAAATAACTGGGCAGAAGTGCCGCATGTGTCATGTTTCCTGAGCGCCTAGGAGATGGGCTGGAAAAATCATTCTGAAGAAAAGAATCATGTCCATAGCAAGCAAGAGATGACTCTTGAGGCCAGTGCCAACACGGGACTCAACGGAGTTGCATCTGTAGATGCCAACTCTGAATATGACCTTATAAAACTACAAGGAGTTCTTTACCTCTCAACATGGCATATGAGAAGACTGGGAGAATTGGGATATTTAGTCTAGAGATCAGAGGGGCGAGGCAGGAATTAATAAAGAGTCATCAAAGACAAAAAGGGTTATTAGAAAAAGGATGGGGATCAATTGCCCTCTGTGTCCACACGGGACAAGGCAAGAAGTAACAAACTTAATCTGCAACAAGGAAGATTTAGGTTAGCTATTCCGAAGAACTTTCCAGCTATGAAGGTGGTGAAGCATTGGCATAGATTGCCTGAAGAGCATGTGGAATCTCTGTCATGGGATGTCTTTAAGTACAGGTTGGACAAACATGTGTCTGGGAAGGTTTAGACAGGGATCGTCCTGCCTTGAGCAAGGATTAAACGTCTGAGGTCCCTTTCTAGGATGCAAACAGCGCAGGACAATCTCCCAGGAACTGCAAACACTCTTTTTTGCACTTAGCAAGGATGAGGGAAGCTTTGTATAAAAATCATATTAGATGGTTGTGCATAGCAATAAAGGGACTTACAGTAGCTGTGTAGAGACCCAAGTGAAGAACAACCTCATATCTGCCAAAAGCATCAGAGGAATGAGAACAGAGAGGCGTTACCTACACTGGGATTTGTCTAGGGCCATGCTCCGCTGTTGCAAACATGTGCTATGATGTGTTCAGTGAAGTCAGGGAGTTATTGTCTTGTCAGAAGCTCCGACCCTGTAGCCAGCAGGGCTAACAATACCCTGGCATGCATCAATCAATGCATCTCCAGTAAAACCAAAGAAGTGATTCTCCCACTCTCCTCGGCATTGGAGAGACTGCAGCTGGAGCACTGCACTTTAACAAGAACGTGGTAACGCTTGAGAGAGTCCAGAAAAGGTCCACTCGTATGATCGGAGACTTGCCCGGCGAGCCATACGAGGAAAGGTTGAGAGATCTGGGACTCTTCAGCCTGAAAAAAAGAAGGCTGAGAGGGGACTTGGTAGCAGCTTACCGCTACATCAGGGGAATACATCGAGGGCTTGGTGAACAACTGTTCACCAGGGCACCCTTGGGGAAAATGAGGAATAATGGTCACAAACTCTTGGAAGACAGTTTCAGGCTTAACATTAGAAAAAATGTTTCTAATGTTAGGCTTTGGCTTTCATGACCACAGCCCGCTCTTTGGCGAGAGAGGCAGTGAGCTGCTGGGAAGAGATGGCCTCCACCTCTCTCCCCTAGGGAGGAGGCTCTTCTCAGCCAGACTGGCTGACCTGCTCCACCGGGCTTTAAACTAAGCCCGTTGGGGGACGGGGGGACTACCGCCACTGCTGGCCCGCTGAGCAATCCTTGCAAAGCCAGCGGATCACGGCGCTTCAGGGAGCCCACCCCTGCCCCAGCCCTGGTAAAATCTGTGTGCAAGGAAGGAGCCCCCCAGGGGGCACTTGCCTGCCTGTACACTAATGCCAGGAGCTTGGGGAATAAGCAGGAGGAACTCATCCTCCTGCTCAGTGCAAACAATTACGATGTCATGGGGATAACGGAGACCTGGTGGGACTCCACCCATGACTGGACCACAGGGATAGATGGGTATACCCTGTACAGGAGGGATCGTGTAGAGAAAAGGGGCGGGGGGGGTGCTCTCTATGTTAAGGAAAGCTACACGTCCCTGCAAGCCGAGAGTGGCGACCAGGGTGGACGGCTGGAGACCCTCTGGGTTAAAATCCGTGGGGAACACGGCACAGGGGACACAATGGTGGGAGTCTATTACAGACCTCCCAC